AACTCTCTTCTCGGTGTTTGGAAACGTGGTCAAACACGGTCTTTCGTGTTTGATATATTACAACAAATACGAAAGACCGCGTTTGACCACATTTCCAAACACCGAGAAGAGAGTTGAAAATACGACGCGCAGCGGAGTATTTTTTACGAACTTCGGGGTGTCTGGAAATGTTGTCAAACACTGTCTTGAGTGTTTGATATTTTTTCTAAATCAAAACCAAACCTAAGGCGAAAATGGGGAAATAAAATCGTAAATATTCTATGCTAATTAAGATCAGATATCCAAAAATCACGGTGACGCTACTATGTAGAATAGAAAAGAAAAACGGAACCAACGATAAAAAATTAATTTCCACCAAAGCAAGAAAAATATTTACAATAAACCTTTTTATTTTTTACCCTAAGGTCAAGATGGCCGCCTCAATTGGACTTAAACATTTCTACAAACCCACATTTTCGTATGGGGTTATGGTTTTCTATACAGCTCTCTACCCTATACTCTTTGAAATAATTATTTCTGGTGTATGCCATTACGAAAGATTTTCTGAATGGCACCCTTGAAGGTCTACAGTAACCTTAAAAGTCAGTTTCTCTATGTGGAGATATATCGGTTACTTATCATGTTAAAATACTTCTCACTTCCTTCGTTTTTCGTTCATAATAAGCTAGGAGAATATATATATTTATAGCTTGTGTCACAAACAAAGTGCATGTAATATTAAAACAATCATAAAACACATCACTTTTGGATCTGTATTCGCAGTGTTTTATTTTTATTTCATGATTAATTTGATTCACTCGCATGTTTGATCACCAGCTGTCCCAAAGGAGGTTCATGTTTACAAATAAAAAATAAACCTTTTAATGCCTGCCAAACACCTTCGATTCGTTAGTGAACACGATTTTTGAAAACGTGGTAGTATACATTTTTTGTGCCCAAACCGAAGTTTTTTTTTTTTTTACAAATTGCCTTAAAACTGCACGGTTAAATTATTTTGATATATGTTCCCACGAACAAATTCTCCAGTCCTAAATATAAAAAATACTGTAAAAACTAGAACAACATTTTTATCCCCTGTCACAGCCACTGTTACATTTTCCTACCGTTCACGGGCTTAAATGTTTGCGCCGAACCTTTCCGAAAAAGATTCAAACGCGAGGGCGCGAAAAGTGAACAAACTTACGCGAAAATAAAATTCATTTGGGCAAATGTCGTGACATGGAGTTTTTCCTCGACACAGATGAACTTCAGCATAGACTAGCCCCAACCTGAAAGACTCTTGCGTTAACGTTGTTTTAGCTTTATCCGTTTCTTTGCCTCACTTCATTTCTCGTTGACTCTCACCCAATTTCATCAAAATAAGACTAGACTTCTCCTTAACAACGAAGATTCGTTTGGCTTTTTTGTTTTTTTTTTAAATACATATTAAACAACTTTTAAATAACTTTTTATTTCCACTTGTTCCTACGGCCGACATACAAAGTAACACTGAGCTACCCATTGCAACTTGATTCCCTTTGATTCCCTATCAGAGAACAAAGCTAGCGCTGGTGATCAATAAACCCTGAAAAAAATAACAAAATTAAATACTGAGACGAATAACAAAGGGAAGTTTGATGACAAAGAAACACTAGGTCCAAAAAAGGGGAAACAAATTATTTACTTATCTAGTTTATGATTAGCAAAACAAAATAACCAGGTTTTATATTAATGTTATCATAATATACTTCGACCTTCTCTTACTTCAACATAATAGATTGCTCCAGTCGATAAATACACTGTACGTAAACAAGCAGAGAAGTATTAAGTCGAACGGGTCTGCGCTATGAAAAAGTAACAACGCCATTTTAGTGCAAAATCCTTTTTTTTCAGGCTAAGGATCAACGAAAATGAGCGAAAGTGAGAACATTTAACGTATGACAACCAAAACTTGCACTAGATCTTAAAAGTTAGATGTCGACGTGACATTTTAACGACTTGGATTTAAACCTACATTACCTAAAGCAGCATCCTGCTAATCGTGAAAGTTGGCGTTTTCATTGATGAGGGAGATGTCGTGCTTGTTCAGTTCACAAGTTCCTTTGCCGTCCTTCTTGGATGACATCTTGTAGTTTGTAGAAGTACACCAAGCGTTTCTCATACATTGTTGGCCGCACGATAACAAACTGGGAGAATGAAACCGTTTGACAACGTATCCCTTGAGCTGCTTATTTTCCCGCGTTGTGAAGTATGATGAACGGGAAAATGCAGCTGTTTCTCCTGCAGAGAAAACGATGGAAATTTGAAACAGAAAAAACATAAAATTCTTTACGCACTCAATTACTGATTGGCTCCATGCCCACCAGAAACAGCGGAGTTATTAATTAGGTGTTAATTAAAATCCGTTGTTTTTAACAGAGATGTTCTAATTCCTCAGTAAACGGAACTCGCATATTGAAACGGACGTTTCAATTTTTTTTTATCTTTAAGTGATTTCTTAGCTGCACGTGATTGCTCTCTAATAACGTAAATATAGTGACTTGCACAGTCAAAAATAACCAGGGCCAAGAATTTTAATGGCAAAAATCGTGTCGATAACAAAATGAGAGGAACTTCAAAGCCAAATTTTATTCAGAGTTCATGAGTAGAATTAATTTTTTTACAACTGTTACAAGTCTGCTTTAAACTAGACTATATGACGCTCTCTGTATCCAGCGATTCACAGAGGCTATCATTATCAAATAAAGGAAAAGTCAACGTTCCTGTCAGGGGATCTCAGGGGATCAGTGGAAGGCTGCGCGTTTCAGTTTAAAGCAGAAGGTAGAACTCAACCTCGTGCCCAGAATCTTCTCCTTCCTGTTCTCTGGCAGGTTTCTCGAACTCCCCGATTTTACAAACAAATTTTCATTATCCTTGGAGGTTCGAAAAATCGGGATTCCACTGTATTCCATTTCTTGTTATCTCATTTCTTAGTTTATGATTTAATTTGACGAGGAAGAACATATTTTGTTCAGAATAACACAACCATTATCCCTCGTGGCGACACTCGATGAGCCACGAGCGAAAGAAAGAATGAGCGAATGAAAGAAAGGAAAACACATTGTTTTGAAACTGGTTTTGTCACTTGCAACCTTGAATGCGGCGACTGCGCCCGCAGTACAACTGGCAGTCAAAACCGAACTTACCTACCGAAATAGTCCCTTTTTTTGTAGCTAACAAAAATAAAGGCAATGCTTAAGACGGTTTCTTTCGCCTCTTCCAATACTTAACTTAATTCTTGGTTTAATTTGACGAGGAAGAACATATTTTGCTCAGGATAACACAACCATTATCCTACGTAGCGACACTCGACGAACTACGAGCGAGTTGTCGGACGCCGGGGAGCCAGTTTTGGCCCCCAGTTAAAAGCTTGGAGACACAAAATGTTTCATATTTTCTACTTTTTACAACCTGGTATGGTTTTTGGACTGATAAATGCCTTTTCTTGAATATTCAAAGACGTCTCCAGTGAGAAAAGTTGCTCAACTTCAACGCTTTTTTGACGTTAGAACAGACAGTTTTTCTCTCTTACTGAATCCTGATTGGTCACTGATTCAAATTTTAGGCGCACCAGCCGTTTGCAAGGAGTTACCTGTCTATAAGCTTAAATATCACATAACTAAGGTCACCAAGATCATGAATTTTAGTTTCCCTCGAAGATTTGTACTCGAAAGTGCACCTTATAAAATAACAAACACTTTCAAACAACACGGCTGCAATGATACACCCCCTCGAGCGCCTCGATCTGATTACGCCGACTGATATATACCAACACTATTACTACGGGCTCAGATGAAGAAACATTTAAATGGAACGGATTTTAATTAATATTCCATTAAACACTTCGCTGTTTATGGTGCGATCGATCAGCAATGGCGTGTGTAAAGCCTTTTATGTTTTTCCTGTTTCAAATTTCAAACAGCTGCATTTTCCCGTTCATTATATTTCACAACGCGGGAAAATAAACAGCTTAAGGGATACGGTGTCGAACGGTTTGATTCTCCCAGTTTGTTATCGTGCGGCCAACAATGAGAAACGCTTGGTGTACTTCCACAAACTACAAGATGTCATCCAAGAAGGACGGCAAAGGAACTTGTGAACTGAACAAGCATGACATCTCCCTCATCAGTGAAAACACCCACTTTCATGATCAGCAGGGAGTCATTTTCTTGACGCCGCTTAAGGTAATGTAGTTTTTTTTTTAATTCAAGCCTTTAAAATGTCACGTAAACGTCTTACGTTTACGATCTAGGGCGAATCATCGATGTTACGTTAAATGTTTTAGCTTTCGTATATTTCGTGGTAGAACCTTAACCTGGTAGAAAAAGATTTTGTACTCAAATGGGATTGTTTTATTTTCGTTACTAAGATCTGCTCAACTTAAAGAAGACTTCAGGTTATAAATTACATCTATTATACACATCTTTGCCTTACTGGTTTGAGCACCCCATTATGTTGAAGTATTCAGTAATTAAAACAAGATTATTTAAAACATAGTGAGTCTGCCTTGTTTATATCGCCGGCAAACTAAATAAGTCAAACCAAGCCGTGTAAGGAACTGGCACTTTTGGACCTGGTTTTTCATATCATCAAGCTTCTCTTTCGCATTCGCAGCGTTTTTATCTCGTTAATTTAATTTATTCGGGGATGTTTGAGATACTTCATTGATTTCTAGCTATACTAGTTACAGCAGCAGTCTTGTAGCATTACAGGTCGCTAAGACATACCGAACGCGCTCAAAGCGACACGCGAAATGAAACTTGCGCAAGTCAACCATAATTCAATAGGCCAACGGTACTTCGCAAATACATAATCATGAAATAAAAACGCTGAGGGTCAAAACTGACTAAGTACAGGGAATTTAAAAAAAGGAAAATAAATCAAAAAAAAAAAAAAAAATACAACTTGGCTTGTAGATTTGCTTTCTTAACGTATTGATTTTATCAATTTTATTCAGGGATGTTTGATCACCAGCTGTCTCAATGGCGGTTCTTGTTTACACGACCCCGAAAGACAAACCTTTTTCCTGTTCGTGCCACCAGCTTTGGACTGGACACAGATGTGAAGTTAAGAAAGGTAATTATGAGTTCTACTTTATATATCATATACAGTTAATAACACAGCCAACCCCCCACAAACGGTCCCCTTTTTATATTAAATAGTGAAGGTTTTTGGTCGTCCTCCGCTAGAGAACCAGTTTCTTGCAATGGGCAGTTGATCCTGGCTGAGGATAATCACTGAAGAAAAAATCAACTGCAGCTATTTCTAATTAACGATAAACTGTCCATATTTGCATAACGTTTATATAAATGCGTAATGAAGAGGTTCACTTTACTCGTAGTCTAAACAAACGGCCAGTAGAAATTGCCCCAACAGAAGGCATCGGAAAGCCTGCGTTTTAATTTTTTTTCTGCAGGTCATATGTCTTTTAGGATCTTGCGATTAGGAATATATGAATTTATTTATGAATTTATTCATGAATTTATTTTATATGAATTTATGAAGATTCTTGAAAGGGCAGGGCAATTTAACAGCCGCTGCGTTTTCTTATTTGTAGTTTCATGCCTTATTTCAACAAGCCAATTTCGCCTCTATTAAAATTCTAACATGGCGCTTTGTCTCAACCCAGAAGCATATGCTTCTGCTCAACCTTGATGTGACTTTTTGTTTTAGTCTTCCAAGCCTCGGAGCCATGTTAAAATTTTAATATATCGAAATTAATCTGTTCGTTGGCACGAAAGAGCGAGTAAAAACCCGTCTGTATTCGTTATGATAGCTTTAATCTCATCCTGTTTTATATTTCACCTGATTAGAATGTCCGCAAGATTGGGTTCGTCACGGAAATTCTTGTTACCACGTCATCGACACTCCGACCCTCAAATGGAGCGACGCTCGAACGACTTGCCAGAATCGATAGATAGATAGATAGATAGATAGATAG